GTGTGTGTGTGTGTGTAATAAGACACGACTGTGTTATTATCAAATTCGAAACCAATTGGAAAACATAGATACATATATATAAAATATAAAATGCGACGTTAGTGGCAACTGTTCGATAATTCTACTGTCAACTCGGTGTCAAGTCATATTAAAGTCCCGCGAACACGTCCCCGAGACACGTCGGAACGATTGAAATCATCTCGAAGCATCGATCTCTCGAGCAGCCTCGATTTTATCCAGAGGAAAAAAGAAAAAGCAAAAGATCCACCCTCGACGATTCGCTTTTGATCAAACCATCGATTGACCCGAATCTGGCCAACTCCTTTTGGTTCCTTTGCAAAAGTCTGTCTTAAAACAAGAGAACTCGCGGCATTCTGCTCACGACTCGCGTCACCCATAAAGCGATTTAATCCCTTGCCGGCGCACACGAGTTCACGTTAAACGTTCCTCCACCTGGACGATCCCTTAACGAGTCTCTTTGCCCGTTAAACGCAATACCGCTATTACGATCGTCCGCTTTAAGAGGAAACTCGTGCCCCTAAAAGATTCATGAAAACTGCGACGCGAAGCGGTCGTTTTCTACCCTCGTCCCTGGTCCCCTGCCCTCCCACTGTCTCTCTGAAACTCCCATCGTTCCGACGCTTTTCCGTAGGAAAACCAACGTCGTTTTACCGCGCGGTGCTCACCTCGTCTCGCCTCGTCTCGCCGGGATGCCTCCTTCGCGGCGATAAGTCAACTCTTCGCGAAGAAAATCGAGGGTGGGCTAGGTGGCTGGATATGGGAGACGTAGAATTTAATAACCATAGGCTGTGGCACGGGGGTGCCTCCGCGGCGTAAGACATGGATGTAATCTTGGCGGGGTAAGTCATACGTTAGAAACCGGAGGACACATTCCTTGCGTCGCTAACAAACGCCCCCGGCATGCACGGCCTGTCCTAAGCTCTCTCTCTCTCTCTCTCTCTCTCTCTCTTTCTCTCTATATATGTATATGTATATAATACACAGGGTGTTCTAGTTTTCATGGTGCACTCGGAAAGGGGATGATTGCATGTGGAGAAAGAAGTGAAAAAGAAAGTATAACATTTCTTCGCTTTCGATGGAATCGAAACGTTTGTTGATGTATGTGCGACTTGAATTTGGCTAATTCTGTACTGGAGAGAAGGACATTTCATGTACGAAAATAAATAAAATAAAAAATAAACGTTCAAGAGAACAATGATCGCGCGTGTTTAATTTAACCAATGATTAAACCATCAAATTTCCATCAGAGACGTTAAAGTAAAGAAATAGAAAATTTTCGTGATACAAATTTATAAATTGCACAAGTTTTCATTTTGTGAAAAATCATGTAAATCTCTAAAGATACACTGTTTTCCAACAATTATAAATTGATCACTTTGATGTAAGGTTAGACGTGTATCTAATAAACCTTCAAGTTGAATTTCGTTTCGTGAGATCTTATACCACATTATTTATTTATTCTGCCACAGTAGAATAATCTTGTGGCGATGATTCTACTGTCCAGTCCCGGGACGAATTCAACTCGAGCACACCTGAGAAATATTCAAAGCCTTCGTTCCAGATCTTCTTCGATTTATTCGTACAGGTGAAATCACATCCGTGCTTGTTCTATG